CACAACCCCTTTGTTACTCCTGATGTTCCACCCTGCTCCACCCCCCAGCCCTGCCTGGCCCCACCCTATGACCCTGCCCCCCGAGGCTGTAACCCTATTCCCTGTTCCTCCGGCCCCTGTCCCGTGGGGAGGAGGAGCGGGGAGGGAGAGAGTTACACCCCTTGCTCCTGCAGAGAGGCAGGGAGAGGGGTGTCCCGGCTCTGCCCCCCGATGGGGGGGTGCCAGCCTCCCGGACCCGGCATGGGTGGGGGGGAGACCCCGAGACCCGACATGGGGGGGGGTGGAACCCCGAGGCCCGGTGTGGGGGGGAGCGCCCCCCCGCCTGNAGGTGGATCAGCAGCTCCACGGTGGTGGTTGGCACTGCCATGTCCCGGCAGGACAGGGGGTGCGAGGTCACCAATGAAGAAGGAAGAAGGAGAAGAAGAAGGAGCATCTCTGTCTGGGTGATGGTGAATTCTCTTCTCCAAACCACAAGAGCTCCCAGCGAGTGTCCTGCTCTGAAGCTGAAGAAAGCAGGCAGGCCCCAGCTGCCCCCACCCTCCCTTTTTCCTGCCTCCCTTCCCCGCTGGGCCCAGCCGAGCTCCTTGTGTTTCTCAAGCACCCAACAAGTACCAGCAGTCAGATTTCCCCACAACTAATGGGTAAAAATTCCAGAGGTGACACGGAACAAAAGGAAGGACACCTAACCCCCAGAGAGATAAAAAAATATTATTATTTTATAGATAAAAAAATCAATATAATGAATATTTATTTCCAGCTGCTTACAAATAAGCATTAAAAACCTGAAGAAGGTGAAGCCTTAGTAAGTGTTAGCATCTCTCTCGAAATCAGTTATGCTGATTTATACTTAAGGCCTAAACCACAGAAATCATACACTTTTATAAAGAAAAACAGTTTATACCTTAATTATCAAATTCCTCTGCAATTCCACAGTGACAGATTTTTTCTGGGAATGAAACAGCATCAGGCTGGAAGAACATTGGTGCCACAAGGAAGGAATAGTTACTTCATAAATGTTTCCCAGCACTAAGCATGAGATACAAAATTGAAAAGAGAAGTTAATATTTTGGTAAGAAAAATCCCAAACTGATGGAAAAACATCTGCTCCATTTAGAAACTAATGGAAAATATCATTGCAATAAAATGAAACAGCGCAATTAAAAGACAGGGAATTGCTGAGGAACTAGAGTTGGTGGAAAATGTTTATAAACAGTGAACATCTATGAGGATTGTGTAGACCCTCCTCTTCAATCACCAGAAACACAAATAATGCTCCAGTACATGCAAACAGTGATTTTTAAAGTAGGTCTCACCAAATTTAACATTAAGTCATAGAAACCACCACAGCCTCAGTGTTACAGGACCTTTCCTCCTGGATTTTTCAGCAAATCGAAGAGGCAGACTATATTTACACGAAAGTGCACGTTGTTCTTATTCAAGAAAATATCCTCATGTTCTCTGAATCTAAAAAGAAAGTAATAATATTTTGTCTTGATATCTGCAACAACCACAAAGTCATGACATTTTCTGAGTATTTTGGGTAAAATCACGGGGTTCTCTTCCAAACTTCGCAGAATTCAGGAAGTGTTGTGTGCACGCAGTCTGGTTTCCATTACAGTGAGACATATGATGGAAGAGAACTCAGCCCACTCTTGATTGCATTACCCTGCTTTCAGCCATAACACCCCAGACTTCATGGAACAGAGGCCAGAGAACTGGAATACAAACATGAGGTGAGGAAAATCCAGTTAGAAATGGATCTGAGTATTAACCCCATGTTATCTGCAATTGGATTGGAAGGCAGAGACTGCAGCAGAGATCTAAGGTTGCATGTAACCCCCCATCCCATCTTGTTTCAGACTGAAAGTGCCCAGGACTGTGATCATCCACTGGCCTGAGTCAGTCATTCCTCTGAGCTCCATCATGGGACCTCTGCAGAGAGAAGAATCCAGTTCTTGATTTAGGTTTCAGAGGGAATATCAAAACTCTCAGCTAAAAGCTTATACAGATGAATGTTCTCAGTGAACATGTGGTCCTAAACCCAGATCATCTTAATTCTCATGGGTTCAAGACTTGGCTTGATTCAAGTCACTCATCAGTGACAAAATTGATGTTTGTGACTTAGAACCAGACCCTGGCTGCTACAAAGCAGGACTTGAAAATCAGCTGCAGAAGTTATTGAACTCCCCTTAATCTCATCTCTGATTAGGCTCTATAGGAAATAGTAACCACACAGAATTCCAAAATTTTCTAATAAGCATAATTCAAGGCATATATCTGAATTTATGAATCCCATAGTAAATAGCTAAATATTGAGAATGATAATATTGTGTGAGAATATTTGAACCTAATGGGAAATTTTAGCTGGATTTTTTTTCTAAAGTAATGTGATATCAGATATTCTATTCAACCTTTGAATTGTACTAGATAAGCATATTCATTACCATTTCTGATTCAAGAATTTGCTTAGCCATCTACTGTAGTATTTGTAAGAGCTAATTAGATTTCAGTATTGATGTGTGATCAACCACAAATCAGAAAGTCTCTGATTTGTGTTCATACTCTTTTTTTGGTTCTGAAAAATTGATTGTAGTAGGAAATAGCAAAAAAAAAATAAGAAAAAAGTGGGCACATGCTGACCGCTTTGAAACATTGATTCAAAAGTGCTGAGATTTGTAGACCTCAACATGACCTGATGGGCAGCAGCATTGTCAATATATGCAACCTGAATGAATATTTTATAGAACTTATTTGCAGAGCTAGAACAGGAAGATATAGGAGCCCTGTCCTTGTCACCTGCTGATGTATGGTCCTGTGCATGTCCCTTTGCACCTCAGAATTCCCAATACCAGCCAAAGTCCTGCATTCCTTCTTGTCTCCATTTTCCTCTGGTTCTTCCAGCTCTGGAAATCAGCTCCATTGCTAATCTCAACCAGACACAACGAAGGGGGTCTGACTCCTGATACTGGGCTCCCATAGAGATGGGTCACAATTCTCTAGTCCCAGGCCCATAAAATGTGATGCTCAAATTCCTGTTTTAAATGCTCTGCTGACTGACTAACCATGGAACCTGTCTGTGCTCACATGAAGATAAATATGGGGCTGCTCTTCTCGTTGTTGTTATGTCTATCATGTTATCTCTGCCTTTATTAAAACCAGACTTCCCTGGTGGAATGTTGATGTAAAAAAAAGAGCTCACCAAAGCCAGGAGAAGCTCAGATAATGCTCTCTTTACTTGTCATGGTTAAGCTGGTCCTACTATTTACCTTTCCTGAAAAGAAAGGTGTTGTAGTGCATCTAAAAATCTTGGTACCTCCCAAGGGTAAAACTCACCTCTGGTTTGTGTAATGTTAGTTCCTACCTGAAAACCTTCTTTCCCTCCCCCTCCCCTTCCCATTGGCTGTGACCTCCCTGCATCCCCTAATCACCCCTGCCCCCTGGTATAAGAGATAAGACCCAGAGCATTTCGCTCTCTCTCTTGCCCCGGATGGACGACAGACAATAAACCCGGGATTATTCCAGCAAGTTTGAGCCTCCTGTGTCTAGATACTTTGAGTCCGTGTTGTATCCACTCCAGGACCCCCTCCGCCGCCTGTGCCCAGAGACGAGCAGGCTCCACAGGGGGTGGGACAGAGGGGTCCCATCGGGGAGCTGGATAGCAACACATGGGTACATAAATATGAATAAGCCTTTAATAGTACATAACCATCATTTAAACACCACAGAGCAATGCATTTCCTTTTAATGAAAAGATCATTTTTTTTTCACCAAAACTTCTTGAGGAGAATTCCGAATACTCCAAGTTAATGTACCCTAGCACTATATTTCTTTCAGGATTTCTATTGCACACTTAATAAACAACACATAAAAATCATCTGTATACAGCAAACAATATATTTCCATTACAAAAAGAAGGAACGGAGAAAGGAAAGACCAAATGGGTGTGCTAAAGCGTGTCACTGATTTAAAAACTATCTGGATAATTTAACTACTTATTTCTCAAACTGAAAAAAGAGGCGTGTACTCTCTTACGGGGAATGGACTTTTAACAATATAGTATTGGGAAAAATGCATACTCTGTAATTATTAGCTAAACCTGGTATGTGTTCAGTCAATGGATTCACTGATTTTCAGAGAAATCACCACAACAACAACACTAAGTTAAAACACCTGATGAAACAGAAACCAGAGCACATAATCTGCACCTCAGGCTCAGGAGAGACAGAACCTGTCAAGGACTAAAAACTACTTGAATCGCACAAGGAGACCAATTTTTGAGAGTCCTCATCCAAGGCAACCCAAGAAAGCCATCACCCAAGCCTTGGATTTACGGCAAAGGGCAGAGCAAGGCTAAGGACAGAGCTCAGGACAAGGTCTCAGTATCTCATGGACGGCTGTTTCCTCCACATCACTGCTACTGCTGTTGTTATGGGCCACAACAGAAACATCAAAATAAACTTTTTAACTGCCTATTCATTGCACAGTTGGCAGCTTGCACACAGCCAATAGATGTCCTTAAAATTCTAAATTCAGACAGTAAAGCTCTTTGTTTAACATAAAATGTTAAAGAATAAGTCACAACTAAAATTAGGCTGGTAAATATACATTTAGCTCTCAGAGCATGACATTTCCCAGTTTACTAATTTGGAATGAGAGCCATGGGGTGCTGTCAGTGGCAACTGCCCAATGCTCATCATTTCTCAAAATACCCGTCTGAGGTACCTTGAGAGGCTTTTAGGGATGGGCCTTTCAGGTACATTTCAAATTCTGTGCCTTTCCTTACTTCCACCTTAGTTGCTTTACAATCTAACCACAGGACAGGTTCTGTAAGTTACTTTCTTTACTCCCTCATTTGGTTAATTTTCCCCAACCCCACTCTAAGAAGTTGACCCTGTAAAACTTAATTTCTTCCCTCCTAAATCCTAATGTACTAGTACAAATGGATGCAATTTGTGATTAGAATCCAAGCTCTGAAAACAGCATAAATTTCCAAGTTCAAGTTACAATGCATTCAATTCTGCTTCTTTATTCCATCAGGGAACATATCAGAAGTCATTAGCTATGGTCACAGGAAGGTCCCTAAATATTTTCCAGTGCCAGGTTCCAACTACAAAAAAAACAAAACCCAAAGACAATGTAAGATGATCAGCTTGAATACACCTATGATGAGAAGGCTTTAATAATACAAGGTATTTTATTATTTAACTTGGAACCATTATTCTGCCCTTATTGATAAGAAAAGGCGTAGTATATTTGAAACTCCCTAAAAAGCTGTATTATCCTTTAAAGAAGTATTTCATCATTATTGATTCAGCAGCTCTCAGGAGCTCTATGTCACTGAAATACTGGTGCTTTTCAGACATCCACTCAGTACAGATGACTTTGATTCATGGAAACATTTTGACATTTATGCTTGGGGTGGGGGAGAGAAAGCAGGATGATGGGCAGGCACAGTGACTATGAGCAATACCGCAGGCAAGGGCCAACCCCAGTGCCCACAACCCTTTTCATCCATTTGCCCTTGGTGCAACATCAGCAAGGCCACAGCCTAACTTAGAGATGGTTTTTTGTTAAGCTTTACAGGTAAGGACCACACAGTAACACAAACCACCTTTCCACAGACCTCACAAAGAAATACATTGCAAAAATATTCTAAATAATCTCTCCTACTTTTTTGGATGTATCTTGTCATTTTCTTAGGCACATGGATTCAGAGGAATTCAGCTTTCTAAAGGGAAGGGGGAGGGAAAGGAAAATTTTGATTAGGAAGAGTCTTAACACTGTACATCACAAACAGCATTTCAGGACTCCATGTTCCCACTATGCCCATCTCCCATATGAGTAACATTGCACAGGCTTGCCATGTAACCCTCCAAGCAGCCACTGACTCGTGGCTCAGTCCTTGGGAGCACCCTTTTCCCATGGTCCCTGCAGTAAGACCATTGATTTGGAACCTTTACCGGAGCTCACACTACTCATGCCTGTGACTGCCACTACAACACACCATGAAATCGGAGCACCAGAACCATCCCAGCAGAACTCCTGGCAGAATAAGGGACTTTTGGAGCAGGATTTCAGTTAAGGAAAAAGGTTACTAAACTGTTTTCTCATACACAAAAAGAAGAGGAAAACAGCCTGACGTTTTACTGTCTCTCCAAGAAGAAAGCTGTAAGCACCTTCATGGAACACGTTCCAGGGCAGCGTTTAGCTCTGCAGTAACAATGGCCATTGTGAACAGCCGGCTGCGGGAGGGGCCCGTGCAGAGCTGTAGAGCAGCACTGAAGTGAGTTTTATGCTGGAATATTGATGCACATTATGGAGCCATCTGGCTGTCTGGAGTGTGTGGAAGAAGCAGGTTAAGCTATTGGACACAAACATCAGTGCAGTGCTGGAATGCTCTGCACAGAGAAGCACTTGGGGATGGAAGCACTCGACGTGCAAGAGACGGAGCTCTCAGGGAAGAACAAGTACGAGTCAAGCTGGAAAGCTTTGAATTTGCTCCCCTTAAGGTAGAACAGCACAAAAACTGTAATATAATCAATTACATAATAAATATAAATACTTATCTTGAACTATACTATTCAATATTTCAATCACCTATTTTTAAAGCATTCTGACAACTAAAACACACCAGATTCCTGCAATTCTGGTTTACTTCCAGCAAACATTAGATGATGCAGCCAGCACTATCACAGACATGCACAATCCAGAGGACAAGATCTGAGGATGCCTGGTGCTACTACATTTTCCCAGAGATGATTCATACCTAATATGGCCAGAGATTTCACACCATTTAAGCAGATACTCTGGCAGTCATCCTTAGGATACGCACACCTGCAGCAGCACAACCCAGGCTATAAACTTTTCTTTTTGCAAATACTGCACTTGTCTGCTTTTCCACCAGGAGCAATCTGCGCTGTACTTTGGAAAAAAATCATTTACAATAAAAGAAATGGATTAACTTTTTGATTTTGACAGAACAGTAATATTCACAAACACAAAAAAACACCAACCAAAAATTAAAAAAACAAAACAAACAAACAAACAAACTCCCAAATCCACAAAGCCAGGAGACACTCAGCTGTCCTTCAACCCTGTATCTGAGAATATAGCATCATGGATATTTTGTAGCAGATGTATGAATTTGCACAGGAATCTAGTAAGTCTTGAATATTTTATGTAACAGAATATTTTAAACAACTCAGCAATATTGTCCCTTTCTACAAGTAACTGCAATATTAATAAGAGATATTTCCACACAGTCAGTGTTAATAAAAATGTACATTTTCAGAAGAAAAACAGTTTTGTCAGAAGAACAATTGTGTGACAAGAAGAAATAGAATTTTTATGAAGGAAGTTGTGCACAGCAAAGCTGGTGGGGCAGTTTGCTTCACTTTGAGAATTATTATGTGCTGAGAGAAGGTAGGAGAGCAAAGAGAGAGGCAAAAAGGCCAGGACCTTGGTATAATATTTTGTGTAATGGCACCCTCATTATATTTCTCAAATGGATGTTAAGCTGGACTCAGTATAAAACCTCCTGTGTATGTATGCAGAAAACCTTCTCTGTGTAGAATTGATGTGGTGTAAGCCAAAGACTGGCCTTTCCTCCACCCCACCTTAATACCCAAAATAATTGGCAGATTGAGAGGGTTTTTATATTTATTTTGGTAGAGCTTTGAATAAAATGTCAGTGCATTTTCACTTGCTCGAAATGTCATGTATTTTACTTTCCAATTTTCCCTTGCTATCTAAGGGCAGTTCCTTGGATGATCTCGTTTCTTTATTAAAATGTATGAAATAGTTGTTTACATTGAGGACTAAGTGTTTCATATTTGATCTAGTCTAGTTTGCAAATGTAAACAGGAACATTGAATCTTGCTTTTTTGTTGTTGTTGTTTCATATTTCATTGTTGTCGTAGCATCTCTTGAGATTCAAATAAAACATCTTTATTACCTAAAATACCTGTGAGTTCCCAGCTAATTTTAACTACTTTTTAAAGCAGCTCAGCCAGGTTTGATCTGGATGGGAACAGCATAAAAACAAAATGATTTAACAAAGATTCGCTGAAGTGCTTTGTTTTGAGTGGCATCTAAACATTTGTATTGTAGCCTTTTCACATATTTGTTAATGTAGCCAAGGGGTTTCAAAGTAGGACTGCATTTAAAAGTAATTGCTGCTGTTGAGACACTTTAATTGCTTGAGATTTTCAGTGTTAAATTCTTAAATTCTTTTCAGTGTTAAATTCTTACTGCTTTGAAGCATTCTCAGCCACTCTGTGACTGACATGGAGATCCCGATTCCTTGTGGCCTAGCTCTTCAGGGAAGATACCTGAGGCTTCTCCTGATGACATCCAAGTAGAACCCAAACCTTGCAGCTTTCAGGAGTGGGAACTGTCACTGGAAATCAAAAGTTTGAGAGTCAAAAGGGTGCTAGACCCCAGATTGCCACATTTCTGTGACTCGGGCATTTTGAAATGGTTTGTTGTATGATGAACTGCTGTGGCTATTTTATCAGCTTTATTTTGCATGATGGGAAGCTGCTGATGGATTGTTTCTCACTCACACGATCTCTGCCAGCCCACAGAGCAGTGTCTGAGGGGTGACACAGAAACCCAAATGCTCTCAGCTGATGTGGAGCCATCCCTGGTGCTGTGTGAGGCCTCTGAAGGGTTCCTGCACATCTGCTCCTCCAGCCTTCCTCATGGAGAGGGAATGGTTTCGCTGGACTCAGATGACAAAGGGTCTGCTCAGGCTGTGAGCCCAGACAAACCACTGCAATTTAGACTTCATTGCTCTTGCCCTTCGTCTTTCCTAGAGAGTATTTCGGGTGATTTGATGCCTCTTCTAGCTCTTGCCTGCAGGCCCTTTGCTGTCACCAACCCTAAGTTTGTAGAAATAGCATAGTGCTGAAAATAGTTAAAGCTTTGTGAGAGCAAAAAGGCTTCCCTGTATTTCAGTATGGCATAAAGGAAACTGTTCTGTGTAATGGCAAGGACTTCAGAATTGGGTGCAAAACCAAAAGTTGCTTTACCAGGAGAAACCCTGCAGAAATCTGCAGGATGAGTTTCTGACAGAAGAACATGCAGGCTTTATATTATTTTGACAGTGAGAACTGAAGGCTGTGCAACAGGGAGCCATTTTTCATCAGTAAGAGTAAGCTTAATTTAAAATTGTATTAATAAATGTCATAGTTTCAGTCTTAAAGACTGCCTGTCAAAATGCATAGCAAAGTTAATTATAAGGAAATAACTGCACTACAAATTACAGTTTCTGTTATTAAATCTCTCAATCATTTTGGATTGCATACAGGTGAGTGAGAACCAACTAGTTGATTAGAAAAAATAGTTTACAAAGAAAAATACATCAAAGACTGGCTTTGAGGACTTTCAAGTAGAGAGAAGGTAAAATGCCATAGAAGAACACATAGTCAGTGACAGTGTGTATATATTGTGCTGGAAGGCTGTCATTGGTTTTGTCTGAAATTCTTTCTTTCTGTCCCATTTTTCCTTCAATCATGTGCAAGAATGATTTTTTCATTGTCATGACAGTAAGAGTGAGCCTCATTGCACTAATACCATTGTCTGAGCTATAAATACACAACAAACCATAGCAGGAGTCAGTATGAAACTGAGCTTTAAGCAACATTTATGGGTTTATTGGTAATTTCTGGAGCAATATTATTGAAGTATCTATAACAGTAGGACTTCTGCAGTAAATGTCATAAAATATTGAGGGAGGCGGAAGCACATTGTCCTGACCACTGAGATGTGATCCACCTGTCTTGTGGTAAAACTCAGAGGATCTCTGGACCTTCAGACACTGTGTAATGGGGTAGTATTAAATTGCTTCTGGTAATAAAGGATAAAGATCTCTCTGTGGGTTGACCAAAGGTTTTGAAAATTATAATCCAGGGTTTCCATCTGCAAACTGTGTAGAGCTTAAGTGTGGTTGAAGACAATAGGAGCAAGGATTTTAAATGCTTGTTGCTTTTTTGAAACCTTGACCCTAGAATTGCTTGGGTTTTTTTTAATTCTCTCAGCCTTAAAAGGCTTTTGTTCTTATTTCAGAAACATAACACGTCTTTAATTGTAAAATTCTTTGTAGATTATGTTCTTTACTGACTTAGAAAAATAACATCACAACAACACTGAGGGGATCTAAAAGCCTGGGTCTGCAGTGGCACATGTAGGATGGTGTTGTGCCGTTATTTTTCTAAATCACTTTGAGATGATCTGCTATGTCTAAACTGAAAGGATCATGAAGGGAAACAAGGATGGTAAAATGTCATTTGTGACAGGAATGATGTCTGATGTTTCCTAATTTATCATAGTGAACTGTAAAAGAAAAAGAATAAATAGTAAAATATTTGCGATAAAAAATAGTAGTAGTGTTAATACTACTGTTAATAAAAAAAAAAATAGTAGTGTTAAACTCTGAGTTCGAGAAGGCATTTAAATTCAAATTACAGAGCATAAAAAGTGTTCATTGACATTTGCCAATAAAGTAATTGTATTACTGAGTTCTCATACTGTATTTCTGAGCCAGACATAGGCTATGCAAAGCTTTGGGAGACAACAGCCTTCAAGCTGATTTCAGAAGCCTTTAGCATTCCAAAGAATCAGGCCTTGCTGCTCCAGCTTTTCCACAAAACCTTTGTTTAATTGGCAGCCTCCTGCAAGAGAACAATGCTGGCAGGAAGAAAATGATGGCATGCCCCAGAGTCATTGAGCAGAACTACCTGGTAGTTTCTGGAGACACTACTGACACAATTCTTCGGTTTCCCTGCTGGCTCCCAGGCTCCAAACAGGACCTGATTAGTACTGCCAAATGCTTTCTGCTGCTGCTCCACAGGTCTGCCAAAGGCAGCAGAAACACAAGCCATTTTGTTGGTATAGGCTGGGTGTTGGGAAGGTAGAATTAGAAAGAAATTATAAATATGATTTTGTAGCCAGAAAGGCTAAGGAAGAAATACAAATGATAGCACGGTTTGAATAATTCAAAGAAACCAACCGGGCTGGTATGCCAGAACACATTCTTTCCTGCAATAAAACCAAGCTGAGACCCCTCATCCCAGCCTTATAAGGAAAGGTCTGAAGGACCCTGAGATAACTAAAAATATGCAAAAATAGTGATTTCTATAGGTTGTACACAAATGTTACTATATTAGTATACTTAGAAAGATTGGTTAGTTAAGGAATAGAATATTCAAAGGTCTAGGTTATATAAGTAGTGGTATAGAAGAGCTCGGTTTCTTTTTTTGCTCTCTTGCCCTCTCTCGCTCTCTTGCTTGCTCTTTTTTTTTTCGTCTCTCTTGCTCTTGCCCTCTTTTTCTCTCTCTCTTTTTCTCTCTCTCTCTTGCCTGCTCTCTTGCCCTCTCTCTCTCTCTCTCTCTCTCTCTCGCTCTCTCTTGCTCTCTCTCTCTCGCTCTCTCTCTCTCTACCCCACGCCCTGAAATAAACTTCTAACACTTAACTCGATTATAGAGGTCTTTGCCGTGTCTCTGACCGTCCCCAGAAAGCGTCTCCTACAGATTGG